AAGAGTGGGCAACCTTGGATGTCTGGGGGTTCAGATCAGCATGGTGCTGCAGTACCGCACCCAGACATATTGGTTGTTGGTCTGCATCTTTTGGCATTGGAGAAAGCTTGTAACCATGTGAACGATATTGCACTGCAAGCTGGGTCAGCTGCAAGGCGTCAGTGTCTGTGTCATTGGTTTCTTCCGGCATGGCTGCGTCTTCATCAGTGCTGGATGGGGCGATCAAGGCAGTGATGTCGTCTGGATTGTCCATCGTGTCCTGCACTACAGCAACTGCTTCCTGTGTCTGGACATGATGTGTGGGTGGTGGCGGCACGATGACCTGGGCGTATGATCCATGCTGCACTGGTCTGGGTAGGTGATCGTCCTCCGGCCAATGGGAGCCATCCAGGGTCACCACGCATTGATTTGAGATCAAGACACAATAGTGATGGACTGCAGCGGCCAAAAGAATGTGTTGACGCAGAAGTTGGTGGCCTACCCTTTGTACCTCACGAACCAAGGTGGGTCTGTGTGTGACACCTTCTGCATTGGGATGGTGGTGGTAGATGATGTCAACTAATAGTAACCTGTCCATGGGGTTGTGAGCTAGGTCACCAGTTCTTTGCACAACTGCTGCCATCTCGTACTCAGGAATCTGGTATGGCATGTGAGGCATGACATGTACGGCGTCCAAGTGATCCAGCTGGATGTGTAGAGCGTCTGCAATTTCTTGCGTTGGCATGATGCGCTGGTCGTTCATGACTTGGCAACAGATTTCAACTCCCTCTAACTGAAACAGGTGTAGGGAAGTGGTGAATCTGGCAGGCTGGGTACTGTGCTTGACCTGATCTACCTGGTGAGTACGTCGGACTGGTCGTGATTGCGTCAGACGAACTGGCATCCTCAGCTCGGTGTGTCTGAGAACCATGGGGTTGATCATGGACCACAATCTGAAAACCATCGCCATGACCAACATGATGTGTGGGTCTCAATGCGTTTGGGATTTGAATCCAGCGATACGTGATGAGGCATTCTGCATGTCTACAGTATCTACCGGCATCTGCAGCTTGGACAAGTTCATATCCACTGACAACTTCGGGCAGGGAGCATGCAACTGAGTACATTTGGAACGTGTCTGCTGTGCCTGGCATGACAGTGATCATGGATGCCAAACGTGGTACCTCAAGGGACTGAGTAACAATCATGTCGAAGACCACAAATGCATGACGTGCAATTCGAGGAGGGTCAGGTTCAACAATGATCCCGTCAAACCAATCCTGATTGTTGAGTTGGTCAACCCAAAGGGATTGTATTTGAGCTTCCCATCCCCTTGGTGGTCCTACCAATTGCAGGATCCTTGGTGCTGTCCACCTGTGCACTGTGCTGTGGTCGATGTACCATGTGCGTATTGGCAGATCGAAGTCATTGTCATGTGGGTCAAGCCCAAGCGCTTCTAACCTATTTGTTAGGTAATTGACGAAGGCTGGGAGAATGGGCTGATTGTGTGTCTCCATGGGTTCATCATCGGTGTCCTCATCATCCGATTGCGGGCCCACAAGGTGTGCAATCGGGCTCTCATGTTCTCTTCGAACTTGCATTAGTGGAGGCAAGCAGGAACCTGAATTGATGTGTTTGTCAATCTCAGCTATATGGGTTTTCTCATGGATGAGGCTCAAGGAACCATGATGGTCAGCAGGTGAAATCTGATCCAATGCAAGTTGATTGGATGATGTCACTGCACGGTGCAGAAAAGATGGCTGTTGGGCAACATCCTGCAGCAAGGCGTCAATCTGGCTTAAACCTGACAAGAACACACGGTGATGCTTAACAAGAGACACAACGGAGCATGACTCACTGCGGGAGCAGGCGGGTGATACTGCTCGGCTGGCATCGGCTTTGCCTGTCGGTAGCCTGCCAGTTGAAGGCGATGTATGCTCTACTGGGCATGGTGTCACTTTTTCTGCGTGCACATGGGCGTCTGCTTCCGGGTTTGGTGTTCCAGTGAAAAGTTCACTGCACTGGCTGTTACTGCATCCAAGCTGGGCAACCTGCGGATTCCAAGGTGAAACATCAAAATTGGTTTCCGGCTGCACGGTGAATGAGGTGAGAAAATGTTCGGCTTCCTGCGGGGCAGCGTACAACACTTCGGTCTGTACAGAAGCACGGAGTGGCATTGAATTCACCTGTACAAAACGGGTGGACGGATGCTTCGACTGCAGCGGGTGACACATGGGACTATCATGTTCAAAATGAACATCAGCAAAATTTTGTTGATCAGCATCAGTTGATGGGAGAAGCTTCCATGGTTTCCAAGGGGATAACATGGCATCGGCATGCGTGACGAAGTCCTGAAAAGCATTGGAAGTGTCTTCGCCTATCCTAATGCACAAAACTTCAGAGAAGGCTACCGTTTTCACGCCCGGCCTGTAACCCTTGGGGCATTGACTATCGCTGTCAACCTTGGTGCCTTCCCTACGCAAAACTGGGTGAGGCATTATCGCTTTGGCAATGTTCGTGGCTGGGCAAATGGTCGAACCTGAACTGATTTGAGGTGGCAAAATGCCAACTTCCCAGGCTAGGTGAAACGCAGCATCGTTTGCCTGCCATTCTGATACAAAACTTGGTTCTTGAAGAACTCTATGCGTCCACTTTGGGATGCATCCTGAGACACTGACCGCATGTGAGAAAGGCCTCTGAGCAATAGATTCCATCACTGTATTCACTCGGCCTAGCCAAACCCCGTAGCACAACCATGCGATTCGGATGGTTTTGGAGCTTCTGCATGTGCTGGGTCGAGGCGAGGCCTTTTGAGTGCCTTCTGCTCGTCCTCCACCATCTGTTCTGCTGAGGTTTGCAAGGCCTCCAAGCTGGTTTGCAGGTTGGAGAGGCCCTCCTTGATGCGATCTGCTGTCGAGCCCGCAAGGTCTTTGTCGGGTTCCTCGTCGCTGACTGTCATTGCATCTTCCTTTGCTTCGATGCCGGCAGTGGATTTGGCTTTTGCCAAGCATTCCTTGGCTTGATCCAGTGCTTCCATGGCTGAGCTGACCCGTTCGTTCATCTGCTTCTCCTGCTCCATGAATTGTGCACTGTAACCTTGCCACTGGGTGACCGCTTGACTGAGGAATCCTCTCCATGCATTGTGTAGGTGGAACCTTGCAAGCTGTGCCTGCTGTAGTTCCTTTCGTGCTCGTCCATGGGCAGCCACGACTGCATGGAGTTGTTTGGTTTCCTGTTGGCCTTCCTTGATCGCAGCTTCGTTGACCATGTTTTGTAGCTCTGGTGGCAGTGTATCGCTGTGTTTTTTCAGCGCCGCCATGAGTGTCTTCAGTTGCTTGTCCTCTGTGCTCTGCTGTGCAGGTGGTGGCATGGTGGCTGCAATAGAGTTCATGGATTGCAGCCAAGGCGGGTCCATTGCACTTGCTGTCAATGCAGGTGGCCCTACCTTTTCCGGCTCTAACGTCGGAGCTTTGCCTTTTCCCTTTGCACCTTTGTGGGAGTCTGCATCCTTTTTGTTGGCTTTTCGTGAGGACTTTCGTCTGGAAGACGTTCTTGGCCTTGGAGGTCTCGTCCATTGCGAGTCGCTGACTTGAGACGCATCCCAGTATGGATCTCCCCAATCCTGCTCCGCCCAGTCGTTGGCATAGCTCCATTGAACTGAGCGCTGCGACCTGGTCTGTCGAGGAGGAGGTTGAAAAGATGGATCTGAGCATAGGTGCCAAGAAATCCCACATACGCCACAAAACTGATGTGTTGAGCTGCATATTTTCATGCAGGTCTTGCATCTCCATGGTCCAGCATTGTTCGCCATTTGTTCTGCTTTGATGCGGTTGATGAATACCTGGTCTTTGGAATGGTGATGTTGGAGCTTGTCCACCAACAGTGCCAGTTGCCCTTGAGAAAGGGTCTTGATCCCTTTTTTGTGCAAATGCCAACGGAGCCTCGCTTGAGCTCGCCCACGCCTCTGTGCACGCCGCTGTGATGGCGTAGTCGTGGTCAAAATTGTTGGACTCGCACAAAATCAGTGGGTTGGACTGCACGTAGTTGGCCACCAAGGTGAAGAGGATTTGTATTGCTGCAATGTAATGTAGCACAAAAATCATTCAACCACCAAATGAGCCAGTCAGAATAATGTGGGGAGCTCACCCCCAAATCCACACACAAGGGCCGCTGTATGGCCAGCGCAGAACCAGTGAAAAATGCCCTACTGTCAAAATTGTACAAAATTGTAAATGTAAGTTGTAGACCAAAATCGTAAATCCGGTTTAAGGCAGTGAACCGCAGAACCCGTCCTCAAAAAGAGGGAATTCCCAATGAAACAAAGCAGGCTTGAGGGACACGTCAACCTCGAGCAGTGGATGTTCACAAGGGAGAGCCAGATACCGACTGGCGTAGACAGGGTTTTTCCAAACTGGTTGACCCCAAACCAGAAGGTCCGGATATCAAAGCGGACCCGCGGGAGCAGCGGTGAACGTGGAGTCCCGCTAGGGCATACTTGAACCCCAATGCCCTGGTTTCAACCCCTCTGAAAAATATTAGTCAGTTGGGGTTACTATTCCCAATATATGGAAAAATAAAAAAAGTTCCAAACCACCAACCAGAAAATATCGACAGTTTCCATGTTCACATGGTTCTTGCCAAGAATTCAACCTGTGAAAAAAAAAAACTTCCAAATCAGCCTCTGAATTGTATGCGAAAGTAGACTCATGTTCCCCAGTGATTCTAGATAATTCGAGTAATGTAACGTAGTGATACTCCACAAATTAACATCAATTAATCCCATCACCCCAATATTAAACACCCCATAAACGGTCCCAATGTATGTGGAAATTCCAAACAAAAAACCATATGGCTTCGTTTAGGGTTGTGTTTCATATTACCCTCTGGTAAACTAACATAGCTATTGAAAATCACCATTTATAGTGAGTTTTCCCATGAAAAATGGTGTTCACCGAAAAAACCGGCAAAACCTGTGGTGAAAACCTGTCGGTCATCTGTCGGGACATGCTGAAATGGGGCACCGGTCAAACAAGGCGTCCAGCTCGTCGCTCTCGGGCAGTTCATTGGAGGCCGCAACCGCACACCACAAGGGAACCTCCATCCTGGGGAGATGCGGGGAAGGGTGTCACTGAGTCACCAGGGGCACCGATTTTATGAGAGCGGCAAGACACATCTTTTTTGAAGTAGCTGGATATTGATGGATTTGATCGGACTTTCCGAAGATGTAGATGTTTGAAATGTTTGATGTTTCGATGTTTTTTTCAGAAGTTCGGCAGATGCTTGAAGATTCGCATTTTTTTTCGGGATTTGGGAAGAGGATCCACCACATCCAGGGCTCCTCTCCCCTCCATTGTCAAAGCGCCGCTCATTGAGCAGCGTGAGCAGGGCGTTTAGAATGGACGAATTCGCCTCCAAAAAAGCGCGGTGGATGGATGATGGCTATTCCAAGAAAAGCTGCAAATGTTCGAACGAAATGGAAGTTTATAGCTGGGAAGATCATCTATAAATGGTGGATGTAATGGTTTGTCTGGAAATTTAGGGGAAAAACTCCCAAAGTCCATTGGTTTGTCATTATCTGTCCAATCAAAATTTGGCGAGTTAAGTGGGGACACACCATTTTCAGATGTGCCCTTTTCTGTTGTTGTTTCCGGCGGCAGGTTTTTGACCAGCTTTGCTGTTTCTCTCAAATAACCCCCAACAAGATAGAAAGACATAGAACAACCACGGACAGTACAACTAGTTTGGTAAGATTTTATTGTTCCAGTGTTGTTTTTTGATAACTAGAAGTAGTTTCCTTGGTACTTGGTGCAATGTCTTCTCGTGATTTTTTTTCCCACCGGACCGGTGCCTTAAAGATTTCATCCAAGAAAGCGACATCGGCTGTGGGAAGATAGCCGTCCACCTTCCCTGGGACTGGATCGATAGTGATCTCTTGAGTGGCCCTAGTCCCATAGACCGACCCAAAAAACAAACACTCGGATTGTTGAGAAGAAAAAAGGATCAGAATCTGATAGAGATACGTTGATTACAATATCAACAGCTGTCCGTGTTTGATCCTAGCAGCTTATTTCTCACGTTCCCCAGCCTTTCGGCATGGATTGCCATCTTGTTGCACAAACATGGAACTATAATTATATATATATACACATAATTATAATGTAGATATTTTGTATAGCTTATACCCTCCGAAACGTGGCAATGGAAAATCCATATAATCTATAAATATAGGTTTTAATGGGAAAGTCATCTGTAAATGGGGGATGTCCAATTTCCATGTTTGATTACCGATACCTCTGTGCGTGTGCGTATACAGTATGCTGCATGTTTTTTCAAAAAACCTGGCAATTTAATGTGGCAAACCCGATAATAAACCATCCCCCATTTTACCGCAAGTAGCTCCTGGAGTCCTGGGTTGTTATTTTTCCATCTGAACTTGAAGCTTTTTGATTGGTGTACCACACTATTACCAGTCTTTGGGTTGATCAAGTATCAAAACCCTGGGATTCTAGGGTACCCTTTCACCCCAAAATCCTACGGCTCGGTTCATCACCCATGTTTCATCCAATTTGCCATTTTTAGGTATGCCTCAGTTTCAGACATATCCAAAGAGACATGTTCAAATATGTGCTTATGTATGCCTCCCATTCAGTCCATTATATCCCAACAATTGTTGGATGGATCCTACATCGTCCCAAATTTTGTCAATGGTTTCGATTTCAGGGCACGGTAAATACCATTAATCACTGTGATGTTCCCATCATTCCCCCCCAAAAAAAATAAAAAAAAACATGCTGTTCGAAAATCTGCCGCGCCACGACGCAATTCATCATTCTCTAAGGCTCGCAGCGACAAGGGCCCAAAGACCTGTCGCTGAGCATTGAGGGAGATCAGCAAAAAAGGTGGAGGCTTAAGCAAGAAAAAGTGGAAGGTCAGCCAGCAAAAATGGAGGTTTAAGCAACACAAAAGTGGAAATTTATGATGTTTGGCCAGCAAGAATGAGAATTTGACATGATAATCAAACATGATGAAACAAACATTATTGAATCAAAAAATACAGATTTGCATGATTCATCAACGTAATTTATGATTAGTTTCTGTTGGTTAAGGACTTTTATGTAACTGGGGTGCATGGTGGATAACAATTGGCAGATGGATTTATCACAAAACCAACTGAAATAAAAAGGTGGTCCTCTTTGTAATCAGTAACGTCCAATTATCTTTGATTTTCCCAAGATTTCCCATTAAGATCATAGGAGATGCTCATGGAATTCCAACCATTCTTTCCCTATGAAACTACTATATCCATCTATATCCCATAGTTTATACTGGAGGCTATCATGAAATCCAATATAGTTTATAATGTGGGTAAAACAATGCCATAAACCACCCATGACTGGGAATGGTAAGTTTATACCACCTATAAACATGGTGATGACTGGGGGATGGTAAACATGTTTTTTTGTTTCACCCACATTAGGTAGATTACATGATCACTTTTATTGTCTATGAATGGGCCATGGCTGAAAAATGTCTATGTCAACCAGAGGGTAAATCCCATTCATGCCCCTCCATTTCGCATAAATCCCTATAAGAAAGCACCGTTCAATTCCATTCAAATCAGGTATTGATCAGGTTAATCACTAACCACCCTTAATCACTATTACAACCACTATTAATCACTAACCACTATTAATCACTATTTAACCACTATTAATCACTATTATAACCACTATTAACCACTATTTAACCACTATTAATCACTATTATAACCACTATTAATCACTATTTAACCACTATTAATCACTATTTAACCACTATTAATCACTATTATAACCACTATTAATCACTATTATAACCACTATTAATCACTATTTAACCACTATTAATCACTATTATAACCACTATTAATCACTATTTAACCACTATTAATCACTACTATTAATCACTATTTAACCACTATTAATCACTATTATAACCACTATTAATCACTATTATAACCACTATTAATCACTATTATAACCACTATTAATCACTATTTAACGACTATTAATCACTATTATAACCACTATTAATCACTATTTAACCACTATTAATCACTATTATAACCACTATTAATCACTATTATAACCACTATTAATCACTATTTAACCACTATTAATCACTATTATAACCACAATTAATGGATGTCCCAGCTCGCCGAAGTCAGTGGCGTTTCCTCACCTCCTCAGGCACCGAGAAGCGCGTCAGCAGCCGCTCGAAGAAGTGCCCGCGACAGACCAGCGCCAGGCGCCGGGCCAGCAAACTTTTGGCGGTGCCTGGGGGGTTGAGTTGAAAAGGCTAGGAAAATTGTGGGAAACCCATGGAAGACATAGGACAAATGATGGGAAAACCATTGAACACATACGAAAAATGGTGGGGATACCATTGAAAGAATAGGAATAGATGGGAAAACCCCCTGTTTTTGGAGAGGATTGGAAAACCCTGGATATTTGTTAAGAAAACGATGGGCAAACCATATATAGTGAAACATGAATCATTCACCAAACAATGGAAACACATCAAAACAGAATTCAGTGGTCCTAGAGTTTTTTCTGCAAACACACGAGGAGAACGGGCGGAAGTGAAAAATCTTGATCAAACTGCTTGGGACAAAGACTGGGGACGCTGGTCACTTTTGGGAATATCAAGCTACTCAACGCGATTTATCTGGGGGGATCTGACGACCATCTGCAATCGTTTACTCGGCGGTGACTCCATGAACCAAACAACCGGACATGGAAAAGGAGAGCTGGACATACATTTTTTGACTTATTGATGGCCAAATCCTCACCGTTAATGCCTAAATCCCAACATGTTTCATGGGTAAATTCCAGTTTCTGTTTCTAGTTCTCCACAAGTACTCCACCATAACTTGCCACAGCTGACCACATGGGTTTGTCTTCATACAGGGTACCCCTGAATACATTGCATAATCATCATGTTCCCCATTAAGACCAGCAGGTATACAGCGCTATACCCCATGTTCAGACCCAAATACCCCATATTGTTGCCTGTACATTATATATCATGATACTAAATTTAGATTTCCATGACATATCCCCAAAATTCCCCAGAGATCAACCAGGATTCCACCTCCCCAGCGCCCCGGTCGCGGCCTGGTGGTCCAAGCAAGAAAAGATGCTCTCCGCTGAGCGCCGCCAGCAGGAGCAGCTTGGCTTCCACCGAGCGTTCGACCAAACCTGGAGCAGCCGAGGCGAGGCGGAGCCGGTGGAGCGCAAAATGTCCAGCCGATGGGGACTTGGCCGTAACAAAAATAGGGACTTAATATGACTTAACCAACAAAAATGGTGATTTCACCATGGCAAATGATGATTTCACCGACAAATATGGTGATTTCACCGTTATTGAACCAAAAAAAATGTGATTTGACCATCAATTGATGATTTCACCAAAAATAGGACAAGTGGGGACATAAGCGAACTATTCCTCCATCAATTGCAAAAAAACAACAGCTGACCTGTCAAACCCAGGTTACCCTTATCAGAAGTCTGACGGGTCACCCAACCCGAGATATGTTGCTTAAGCCCAAACATATGTATACATCGCCAGTTTGAACTCTATAAGTCTATAAAAGAATGTGTGTGTGTGTATATGTATATGTATATGTATATGTATATGTATATATATATATATAACCTCTTCTCGTGATAGGCAACATCCACTCTTCAGTCTCACAAGGCGTTCCCGAGAAATCTCAGGATTTGCCGCACCTTCTGTCAGCTGCTGATAGGCAGCCCTTAGCTTGGCGGCCAAGGGTGGCTCTTCCGTTGGAGCCTTCACAACCACCTCCTGCCGTTCTCCAATGCCACAGTCAAGTTACATGGGATGAAAACTCACCTCTATTCATGCGATTTAAGCAACAATCATGGGAATATGATGGGAACTTCTTTTTGGGGTGTAGAAAAACGTGTTTTAAACCCAGCTTCATGTGGTACGATTTCATGGGTTATAGTTACCCCACCACCATCTTTTGGAATCCATATCTTGGCCACAACAAAAAAAGTCCAAGTGAATGGATTGATGACCACCAACTCGTTGGGGATCAACAGGGTTGCAAAAAATGGCCCCAGATACGTTCAGGGTTTTTGTGAATGGCCGAATAAATGGGGTAATTGACCTATTTTCACCCAAAAGTGGCTATCATTCACCTTCAGTTTGTTGGAGGAGCCCTTTTTAACCGATTTGTTTCATCCTGAAAAGTGAGAAATCAGATCTTTGTTCTTCGTGATGTGTTGATCCATTGCCCGTTGACAACTCTAGTGGCATTTTTGTTGGGGGATGTGATAAACCTGTCCAATCCCAAAACACCCCAAGCAGAAGTGAATCGTGCTGAAATCCATCCAGTGTTAGGTTCCCGGTCGCTCTTCCATCAGTCGTCCAGGTTCGTTTCTCCAACTGGTTGCTATTTGAGATCCCCATCTTCAACGGTCTCAACGGAGTTTCCACGCGATCTCCCCATTGCTTGCTGGTCATTGCTTGCTGGTAGTCTGCTAGAGAATCTCCACAAATAGATGTTATATATATATATTTATGTGTGTGTATGTATATATACATAATATATATATATACATATATATGTGTGTGTATGTATACATATATATATATACACATACATGCCAATATACGTGATGCTCGATGTATGAGTCTGTCCAACATACTGTATCCTAGACTACCGGAAAAAATACACACCCTTGGGAATTGCGGGGGTGCCTCACGTTCAAACCCAGATCCATTCATTGGTGAAATCTATTACATGTACCCAATGTTTGATTGTTGAGTCCTATCCCATTTTATCTTTTATATATAATTATAATTATATATATATATGACTATATATAATGTATATATCACACACATTATTATATATATAATGTATGTGTGTTCTACCACCACCGGTCCAGCACTCCTCCTTCAAAGTCTTCAGGACGTTTGAGGCATCCAAACGAAGCTTCGCTAACGGCCCCTCCAGGGTGGTCAACACGCGGCGCCGCACCTCCTTGCGGCAAGTTCGGCAAGCGCTTCAGGAGATGGATTGGTCAAGGGGAAATCTATGGGAAATCTATAGGAAACCCATTGGCTTTTGATGGTTTTTGTGCAGTACATGTCAGCTTTTCCAATATCTGTTTTAGATCATAGAATATGAATTGGGTTCAATAAATGTTAGGTTTTCCCAGATCTGTCTTAAATCATGATATATAAATTGCTGCATATTGGTTCATAAACCGATCGATCCATAGATACACTCACCATAAACCCAACAGCACAGTTATATCACTTTTAAACCAGCTTACCTAGCTATACGGGTTCACTCTATAGATTGACATTTGTTCCTTTAAGAAATTGCGAAGGGAATGAGATCAAACTCGGGGTTGCATGAGTTGCAAATGTATCTTTCAATGTTCATTTTTTGTGGGTCCCCCAAGATCCCCTTCATCGCTTCTGAGGGGTGTCCATCATCACTTTTTGGTGATTCGAGGGTATGAAGCGGAAAATCACTATTTATCAGTGTGCCATCTGTTATCTAAACATAGCTACGGAAAATGATCATGTTTAATAGGTAAATCATCATAAATGATCGATAAGTGGGCCATTTCCATAGCTATATTAGCTATGTTAAATAACCAAAGGCTATGATTACTATGATACTGCAATAGCCAGTTTTTTATGATGGCACTCCGTGGGATTTCGGCCATCCACCAGCTTCGTCTTCCCATGGCGCATAGTCCCCACTTGCATGGTTCTCAAGCAGTATCATCATTGGGCATATATCATCATATATCCATGATTATCCCCAGGAATACATGGGTACCCACATGGTTGAATCCCCATTCGAATCTATATCCACTATATCCCCATCATATGATTAAATATCATATATCCATCATATTCCATTGTATAGCCATTTTAGGTACGGGATTTATCCCTTTTTTCCGAGTAAGTCCCATGGAAAATCCCCTTCCCTCCTCGGTGTTCTGCTCGAAGTGCTGTAGCAGTTCCATGCTGTGCCCATGCTCCTCCTGGACCGGTCCAGTCGATTCGAAAGTGGCGTCAGACAGCTAGAGAGCCATGCCTCAAAGACTCAAAGATCAAGGAAATGATATAGTTTGTGTAAACTCATACAATTTTATAAAAGGCATAAAATGTTTCCACAATATATATATATCATATAATATTGAGAAAGCCTGAAATATCTCCAGATAATCAAGGCTCAAGGATATACAAGGACCATACAGTACCACTTAAAACTGTTCCAACTTTGGATAGTTTTGAAATGTGGTGACATACTAATAGTCCCGATTTGCCACGGGGATTTAACCACAAACCCAGACGATGGAATGGAACTAGTTGGCCTCCTGGTGCTACACGACTGGCTCAACCAAATGGGTATTTATATAAGAAAATCATCTATTACAAATGGGGTGATTTTCCAGCAAGCCATGTTTGATTGCCAGGGTAAACAAATTCACCCAGCCTGCAGCCCAGAAGTAAAGGTTTCAGGGTTCCATTCCTGTTTTCATTGATTTGCATCCGTGATGCGCCCGTGACCCAGAGATGGAACAAGCACTGCTGTTAGGAATGGGCACGAATCATAGTGATGCAAAATTGCGAACCACAATCACATCCCGCAATTGGGTCTTAACTATCTTAACTGTTCAGGCCTCACAACTACTAGCTGGCTGCACAATGGTAGCTCCCATCCCACACCCTCCATTCCCAACCCTCCGAACCATCCAAAACTCATGCCACCCTCGAATACCCATGAGACAAAACATCTGATTCAATCCAAACCATCAAAAAAAAAACATCGACATAAAAGATATAAAAGGAAACAACAATCACCAAAAAAAATGTCCCCAATCCCCAACCTCAAGCCGCACCTTCAGCAACGCCAGGAGCAAATGGGCGGGTTCCACCGCTGCATGTCCCAGGCGCTCCTGTTCCTGCTGCGCTGTGCTCAGCGCCCGCCGCGTCATGGGCGTGAACATCTTGGGGGGGCCACCTGCAACGTGTGGGTAGCAGTGCTATCACGGAGATACCTTGGACCTTAAAATGGTACCTCTAAAATTGGTAAAGACACAGAGAAATCTTTGGGTAGCCCGTTTTTGTGATTGGTGAGGTGGTTTAAGTCGGGCAAGTGGGTTTTCTCTATGTGTATGCAACATGTATGTATATATAGACATACGTATAATTAGGTTATGACCTTGTTATTTCCCACTTGCTGGAATGCACATCCAAGTAGAAATCACCCCCATGAATCTTGATTCTTCCACCACTTCCGAACATCATCGGCCCTTTGCTGATGGTTGCATCCGAATATGTTGTGGATGCACTCGTTTTTGCTTGCATCTCTTAAATACAATTGTAGGGATGCGTGTACTTGATCGAATATTATAAATATATATATAAGATTATATAAGCTTATTATATATACTATATCTCTGATTGGTTGCTTCTATCACTTTACCATTTTCTACTCAAGGGACGCCCCGTTTAAGCTTTGCCATACGACAAAGGTCAGAAATTCTAATCTTCCATGAAAAGTGACTGGGAAGTCTATGCGAAGTGGATGGAAAGTTTGTCAATATGGGCCGCAATTTTTGATTAAGGCATATCAAGGCCATGAGTCCCCCAGCATTGACAGTCAAAGGCTTGGTGCTTTGAGGTTACTAGAAATTCTCCAGGATTTGTTGGTTCACCAAATCGATCATGACAGCTTCGTGGATAGAATGTTCAATCACACATGTAAGAACTTGCAACACAAATCTCTATGTTTGGTCGCCAAGTTCTGTGTTGTTCCTGTTGTTTCGTGATTAGAATTTGATTCAAGCCCATGAAAATCCCATGAAACTCCCAATGGGTCAATCCAAGGAATTTGTTTTATGGTGTTGTTTATTCTTTTCTTTGGTGAACAGTTTTTTTGCCTAAATTCCATGAAAGTCCTATGAAATTCCAGTATTTGATGGTTTAAAAATCAACGTCCCATCTAGGATCATCCGACTTAATAACTGGTTAGTAACCCAGCTTGGTACTGTCAGTCCTCTAAGTGGATGAATTCTGCCACTGGGTGACACCGGTGACACCCCACTATGCAGGATGCCTATCCTCCCACCATCTCCCAGTACCTGCAGGAGCCTTCCGTCCAGAATCGGAAGCGCTGGAAGCAGAGCGTTGTTGCAGATATGCAGCGACCGCATCCTGTACGGCGGTCCAAGTTGAGAGATCGGCAGATCGGCATTTCACCAATGTTTTGAGCCTTGAAAACAGAGTTGGGAGTAAAATTGAGCCTTAAAAATGTGGATTTATGTATATATATATATAACATGAATTCACTAGCAGAAACGGAGTCTTGACAAATGTCTCAATCATTTGTATAAAATGGGGAGTTTGCAGATGATCTCAAGCTCATTATCCCCTTGTGGTGCACCCAGATGGGGTTGAACCCCTGAAAAATAAAATGAAATCAAGGGTACCCAGGCTACTGACCCCCAAAATGCAAAAATGAAATCAGGGGAGTTCAACTACCCCACATGTTGCGCAAAGAGAAAATCATCAGTCATCCAACTGAGGGGTTTGCAAAAATAAAATCAAGAGGTTCCAGAAATAAAATCAAGAAGGTTCCAAGCCAGCATCCAAAATGTTCCAGAAATAAAACTGAAGGGTTCAAGGTCAGCATCTGCGTTTGTGAAATCATCTGAAATCTCAACAAAATCTATCAAATATTGAATCCAAACATATCCAAACCCAGCTTCTAAATATGTATTTCAAGCTTTGTAGAAGCAGAATGGTGTAATCAGGTAATCACAATCCATAGTTTTTTTCCTTTTTTGTGGCGTGTTCTGGCTGCATCCTTTTCTGCCCAAACAATAGTGACCCACCAAACAAAGCATAGATTCAATATTATATTCCAACCATACTACCCAACAAAATTCTACAAGCTTGGGAACCTTGGATTTTATTTTCCCCAAAATCTATCAAATATTGAATCCAAACATATCCAAACCCAAGAGATGTGTGTTCCACAAAAAAAAAAGGTAAGCACAACGCAAAAATAAAATCCAAAGGGACCCAACCTAAAGCTACTCCACCAGCTGCATTGGGGTTGGTTCTTGGTCTTGGCCCATGTCCCAAAAATAAAATCATAGGGGTCTGACTTACTCAAAACTTATGATAGGCACCTTTTGAAAAATAAATCCAAAAATATTTCAGGCTCAAGCCCTATGATTTTATTTTTGAACACCGCTTAGGGATGCTCATTGGGTATCACCAGTCTGTGGCATCTGTGGGTACCAAGGAAGTTTGGCCCATACTCACTACTCATTCATGTCACTCATAAACACCCGGCCCGCCCACCAACAAGCCCATTTTCCAGCAAGAATGGGAAGAACCAATGGAACACTCAGTGAGCAATGAGGGAAACAAGGCGAAACACAAAAGAAGTGATGATACTGTGGATGGAAGAAATCCTGCACCAGTTGATAGATAGTTTATCCCATTATTTATTGGGTTTCAACCATCCAAGGTGGTGCAGGATTTCTTCCATCCACAGTACAACACAACTAACACAACCAACAACATCATGCAAAATCGATATACAGCATCACCCGTGTTGGTGTGATAAGCATCAACTCCCCAGAATTTTCCAACGAGTGGCAGCTTCAACCCCGGGAAAGGCTGCGGCCCTCGTGGCTTGTGCATTTGGGCTCTCCTGTTCTGAGACCTTGGAGCGTCCGTGCCAACCGCCCCGGAAATATACCACAAAATCAGAAATGGTGGATTCCTAAAATGGAGGTACCCCAAAATGGATAATTTATAATGTAAAATCCTAATAAAATTGATGATTTAGGAGTACCCCTATTTTTTTAGGAAACCAGAAATCTTGCAGTTCACCTAATATGTGACTCATGTTCAAGTGTCCCCCCCACTGCCATCCGCTTCAAATGAGCAGGAGACGGTGAGCAAAGACAACAGCAAGGCATCCGTTCCAATCTGCGCAGCATTCAGTTCGACCGCGTTCTTCTCTGCACTCTGTACCACTACCTCGGCATATGGGGTGCGGTAGCAGCTTTTGAACCCCGAAGGTTTTAATTCAAGCCATGCACAAACCTGGACTGCCAGGGCGAACTCTCAAAATGTTGGTGAATGGATGTGAATGGCATAGGCGTTTCTCCAAAATTGGGGTACCCCAAACCAGTTATTTCTTGGATTTCCCTTTCAAAATGACCAGTAAGTTGGATTCATCCACGGCACTATCAGGTCGTCACTGAACTTGTCGTAGTCCGGCGGCGCGTCCTGATGTAAGGAAGCCATCCTGGATATCCTTTCAGTGAACATCAAAAACATATTCAAATAGTACAGTATAAATATAAGAAAAACAAAATCATATAAAGTAACGTGTATACATATTATATATATATATATGTAGTATTATCATGGCCGTTTCCAGCTACAAGCTTGAAAACAATGATTAATCAAAAATGTGAAAAACATGTGGAAAAATGTGTTTTGAAAATGCGCTCGGAAAAATGTGAAAAAATGCGTTTTGAAAATGCACTTGGGAAAAAATGTGAAAAAAAAATGAGAAAAAAAACATTTGAAAATCCAGTTGGGAAGGTGGAACTCTGATTTGTTTTCTTCAGGTTTGATTTTTCGGGGTCCAGTTTTGCTGCAGTTACTTTGCTGCCGGCCCAACTTCTGCAGGTTGAAAATCGGAGAGGAGCAGTTCAAATCGATCGGAAGTGGACTGTGCAGATCGCAGATCTGTTTAATATATCTATAGTAAAGCAATGACTACCAGGAGCAAAAACATAAAATCAAATGCAGAAGGAAAAGACAACAAAGCTTTTAAATTACTTAAAACAATACATTTTTCACATTGTTTTTACATGTTTAAAATACATTGTTTCACATTTCAAAAATAATGCATTTTTAAAACACATGTGTTTCACGTTTTTTTCACATGTTTAATTCAAACTACTACAACCCTTCTGTAGCTCAGTTGGCAATGATAAATATAGTAATATAAAGTATCCTCAATCGTTCCAATGGTCATCCCCCAGCTACGTTCCTGGTGACCAAAGCTGTGATTTTTGTTTCACATCCCAGTGGTGGTCCTTGTAGCAGGCACCACAACATTTGACCCGAAACACCCACCAAAGATGATGCTGTTGTCTTTGTTTATCCCAACGGAGTTTGCTTCAGCTACGGATCAAACCTTGGTATCGCAGGAAATTGGGGTGGCAAGACACTTCCTCTTATATCTCGGGCAACAATTTTGAGATACTGTGAGTATGGTCCAAATTTTGGAACAGGACCAAGTACCACATCGAAAAACTAAAACATCGAAACATTACAAAATACATTTTCAAAAATACCAATTTCAATCCAATTTCTGGCTTTCCCATTGACCAATGATTCCAAGTTGTACCCCCGGTCCTCCTGCGCTTTGCCTCGTGCCCCTCGGCTCAACCTCGCTGCCCGCGCCACCAGCAGCGCGGACGCCGACACGACGAAGCGCTGAGATGTGGAACCCGCCGCGCCCGCGCCACGCGCAAGGCGCGTGGGGGCGGGTCTGGAAGGGGTACCTGTGATATGGCAGCGGAACTGATGGAATTTCATGTGGATTTAATTTAAATAGATTCAATATGATTTAATGAGATTTAATGTAGACCTAATGGGATGTAGTAGGGATTGAATGGAATTTCATGGTGATTCAATGGGATTTCACAGGGATAAAAAACGTCTTTTTTTCCATGAAAAAAGCCATGGGATTCTTTAGCCAACAAGATGGGATTTCACCAACGAGTCGCTACAATTGGATAACTGGAGGGTATCCGTTAAACGCAGGGCATGATGGTCGCCATTCGAACCTTTTTGGATGACCAAGAGAAATCAGCAATATCTTAGACAGCCGCATATTACCACCAATAATAGAGAAAATATGACCAACAAAAATAGAGTGCAATAGAAGAGATTAGAAGAGTATCTACTATACATTCTACTACCACCAGTACGGCAGTACAGGAATGTCCGGAAGGTCGTGTCAAAAATGGTTTCCCACACATTATCTTGACGTACACGTGCTGCCAATCTTGCACTCTGAGACATGCGAGTGCCACTACCATCTGAGCAATGTTTTTTCACTTGTGCAGGTCTTTGTCTTTTTGGCTTGCACACGCCACTCCCACACCAAGCCTACGCCACCACAAAAATTGCACGGACATATGCCTACAGGAAGCCTACGCAATCCTACGCATATATTACCGTGGCTAGACAAAAACCTATCCAAATCCTAGTGCGCAAAATACCTACGCAGAGCCTACGCAAACCTGGGCAAAACCAATGCCAAGCAAAACGCAGTTCAAGTGCTGTACAGTTGTTCTCAGCCAATTATTACTTCAATTTTCAAGCAAGCATTTGGCTCCAAAAAATGCTCCAAATGATTGACCTCCAAAACCCACACACCCTAGAACTGAACCTACGTAATTTTGTGGATGTTTTTGAGGCACTGGCGGAACATCCATTGCCCCAGGCACTTGAAAAAGATGTCGATGTCGCGCCGGCGCACCACAGCGCCATGGAAGAAGGTGCCACTTTTGGGGCTACGAGGGCGGGGTGGCTTGGACAGCTGCAAAGCGCTTCACAGATTCACGGATTCCGAGGATTTCCTCTGGGATTCCCGCATTCCTTGTGTCCTTCTGATCCCATTCCAGGACAACTCTGAAGACCCGCTTCTAAAAAGGTGAAATATACACCATGTTGATTTAATTTTAGATATATGATTCAATACACTTCAGAATACCTAGTTTCAATGTATTGGTTTAAGGGAAATATTACAGGAAAGCCCCAGATTTAATGGGAAATTCTATGGTTTCCTGTAGATTTTCCCTTAAACCAATCCATTGATAGTTGTTTCATCGTTTTTCTCCATCCTTATCAGATGTTCACAAGGCCCCTCACGTGGCGAAGTGATTGCCAGCACGGCTGCATGCCGCAGCGGACACGCGCAAACCTGTCAGGTCTGGCTGTGCCCTGGGGCATGGCTCATGACCTATGATCACCATGGGAAAGCCACGAAAAACGGAGGTTTGACATGGGAATAAAATGGGAAAAATATGGGAAAATGCCCTTGAAATGGGCATTCCTGGGTTGTACCAAGTGAAAAATTTTAGGGGAAAATCATGGGAAATCCCCCGTAAATGGAGGTTTATACCTGGGAAAACATTTAAGTTTTGCTGGGGAATTGTCCAGGCATGTGACTGATTACCAGATATTGCCAGAGGGGTTTTCAGGTTTCAAGGGTTCCCCAAAACAAGATGACTCTGTCACCGACCATGGGCAATTTGATCAGGTTTCAAACCCAGATTTTGCGATTAAGAATACGGCATCGTAAGCATGTGTTCATGTTCTATCAACGAATGCCGAGTTCATTGCGTCCAAACTCTCAGCCCAACAAATTCGGGATGTCTGCAAGTTTTTGGAACAGTTCATTATATTCCATATCTCAGAAGATATGCCAAGCAATATGTTTTGAGAGCATCTGTCAGCACGCATCGTCCACTGTATGTCAGGTTACACCTCAAATCATATGTCTGCCAGTGCTCTGGAATATGCATTTGATCAACCTGTCAATCATGTGCTACTCTCCAGGGAACAAACGTATCCACTTTTTTGTGGATTTTTTTTGTTTTTTTTTATACGTTAGCTGCTGTGAACATAGGCTATGATAAATGCCCTATACTTGAGACATGTTAGTTGAAAATCCAGAATGGACATGTTAGTGGAAAAGTTGTCCCCCCCTCTGGGGGTTCCCGGGAAACTGCCAGAAGACTACCGCCCCGGACGCCCCAGCATCGACCCCAATAGGGCTCAAATCAAAGACCGCATTGATAACAAAACGGTGGAGAAAAAAGGGGTCCCAACTCCTTCCGGAAGAGCGCATCATAGATGATGCTCGTGGGTGGGCAGGAAGATTGGGGGTGCATTCCAAAAACCAGTTGCATTTACTAAGGGTTGGATGACTGGCCATGGAAAGCGTGCACCTAACGTGTCCGTGTTGTTCAGAGGATGTGGTTTTGAGATATGTGAGTGGTTATTGGCTGAATCTATCCCCCAAAAATAGCGAACATATCCCAGATCAGGGTCGAAATCCAAGGGCCCCAATTGCAGGAACTGAGACATGTTAGCTGTTTTTGGGTCAATGGTCCCAAAAAAAGTTGCAATACATTCCCCAGGAAATCCAGGAAAACGCCAGTACAGAGTGGACATGTTAGTTGATATCTGAAACGGTAGCCCGAGACGTATCCACTTTTTTTTTGTGGAAAAAAATTGGATACGTTAGCTGCTGTGAACATAGGCTATGATAAATGCCCTATACTGGAGACATGTTAGTTGAAAATCCAGAATGGACATATTAGTGGAAAAATTGTCCCCCTCTCTGGGGGTTCCCCGGAAACTGCCAGAAGACTACCGCCCCGGACGCCCCAGCATCCTTATTTCCAGACCCCAATAGGGCTCAAATCAAAGACTGCATTGAGAACAAAACGGTGGAGAAAAAAGGGGCCCCAACTCCTTCCGGAAGAGCGCATCATAGATGATGCGTAGGTGGGCAGGAAGATTGGGGGTGCATTCCAAAAACCAGTTGCATTTAGTGATTGTTGGATGACTGGCCATGGAAAGCGTCCACCTAACGTGTCCGCGTTGTTCAGAGGATGTGGTTTTGAGATATGTGAGTGGTTATTGGCTGAATCTATCCCCCAAAAATAGCGAACATATCCCAGATCAGGGTCGAAATCCAAGGGCCCCAATTGCAGGAACTGAGACATGTTAGCTGTTTTTGGGTCAATGGTCCCAAAAAAAGTTGCAATACATTCCCCAGGAAATCCAGGAAAACGCCAGTACAGAGTGGACATGTTAGTTGATACCTGAAACGGTAGCCCGAGACACGTATCCGCTTTTTTTGTGTTTTTGTTTGGATACGTTAGCTGCTGGGAACATAGGCTATGATAAATGCCCTATACTTGAGACATGTTAGATGAAAATCCAGAAAGAAAATATTAGTGGAAAAATTGTCCCCCTCTCTGGGGGTTCCCCGGAAACTGCCAGAAGACTACCGCCCCGGACGCCCCAGCATCGACCCCAATAGGGCTCAAATCAAAGACCGCATTGATAACAAAACGGTGGAGAAAAAAGGGGTCCCAACTCCTTCCGGAAGAGCGCATCATAGATGATGCTCGTGGGTGGGCAGGAAGATTGGGGGTGCATTCCAAAAACAAGTTGCATTTACTAAGGGTTGGATGACTAGCCATGGAAAGCGTCCACTTAACGTGTCCGTGTTGTTCAGAGGATGTGGTTTTGAGATATGTGAGTGGTTATTGGCTGAATCTATCCCCCCAAAATAGCGAACATATCCCAGACCAGGGTCGAAATCCAAGGGCCCCAATTGCAGGAACTGAGACATGTTAGCTGTTTTTGGGTCAATGGTCCCAAAAAAAGTTGCAATGCATTCCCCAGGAAAATGCCGGTATAGAGTGGACATGTTAGTTGATACCTGAAACGGTAGCCCGAGACACGTATCCACTTGTTTTGTGGTTTTTTTTGGGATATGTTAGCTGCTGTGAACATAGGCTATGATAAATGCCCTATACTTGAGACATGTTAGATGAAAATCCAGAATAGACATATTAGTGGAAAAATTGTTCCCCTCTCTGGGGGTTCCCCGGAAACTGCCAGAAGACTACCGCCCCGGACGCCCCAGCATCCTTATTTCCAGACCCCAATAGGGCTCAAATCAAAGACCGCATTGATAACAAAACGGTGGAGAAAAAAGGGGTCCCAACTCCTTCCGGAAGAGCGCATCATAGATGATGCTCGTGGGTGGGCAGGAAGATTGGGGGTGCATTCCAAAAACCAGTTGCATTTAGTGATTGTTGGATGACTGGCCATGGAAAGCGTCCACTTAACGTGTCTGTGTTGTTCAGAGGATGTGGTTTTGAGATATGTGAGTGGTTATTCGCTGAATCTATCCCCCAAAAATAGCTAACTTATCCCAGATCAGGGTCGAAATCCAAGGACCCCAATTGCAGGAACTGAGACATGTTAGCTGTTTTTGGGTCAATGTGTAAAAAACAAGTTGCAATGCATTCCCCAGGAAAATGCCGGTATAGAGTGGACATGTTAGTTGATACCTGAAACGGTAGCCTGAGACACGTTTGTTCCCGGGAGTGTATATGTGTATACATACACACGTCAAGCTACATGGCTGCATACATCATCGAAATAGATGTCAAAAATATGACAGGTCATCCAATTGAACATGTACAAAGTTAGGTGTCGCATCGTCCTACCGTTCGCATCCCACCCAACCCCCTGAGAAATGCGTCTGTAGCGTAGCATCAAGTAAGTTTGCAATTTTAAAAGAACGACAACATGCTCCCCACCTCCCAGGGAAATGTAATATATCATGTATAATAAGTATATCACAGTCAAAAAATAGTTGGCAGCAATAATGACAAAAGTGCAATCAAGAAGAATTCACACACACCCATAGACCCAAACAAAAAGTCTGGCCGTAAAACAAGCAAGTCCTTACCATCTGGCGAATCTATTTCCTGCCCTAT